AATCGCCACCACACCATAGACGGTATTTGGTACTATGACACTTGTATATAAGATAATCGAGTCGGTTTACAGTTACGGTTAGGGTTAGGGTTAGTCAGAAATAGCTAAACGAGCCAGGGGCCAGGAGCCATAGACCCTATATGAGCGCCACTGCCTGGTACCTCCTCTTTAGTTTTGGTATACATAATACAGCTGATATTGCATAGTAGCGCCTCGGCAGTTATTCGTCAAGGACACCAGTCTGACACATGATTAAACATTGACCAATTAGTTTCTATTTAAATCATGGATATCGGTAACACTAACACGTACCAGATCGCATGAAAAATCATTACACTACTAATCAACCTTAAAGCTTAATTCGTGCAAAATTGTAGCTGATCCTTGTAGTTGTAAATGTAGGTGCATTAACTTACTATTTTTTGCGATATTTTTAAACCAGCGTCCAAATTGCCACAATACAACTGAGCTATACGTTTTATTCCTGCAGCCCTCTGTATTCAGGGAATCTGATCTTGATTCGTTTTCATGCAGGGAGGAAAGCTTTGCATGGGCCAAAGGATATATGAGCTGTCCACATTTGGACATGTCGCACATTGCGAAAATGAATTGTGGTCAGCGCTTATATCCATGAACCAAGCTTTGGCTGTTGTATTGTGCAAATTTCTATGTCAGTTTAAAGATGTTGTGTAAAAATTGTAGTTTAATACATGCTTTATTCTACAATAAAGTTGTTCCTTTGGTTCATGCATTTATTTTTTTGGGGTTGGTAAGTGGTGTACATTTTAATTCAGACGAGTAATAGTGTGCGGTATATCTTACTTTCAACTCCATAGGTCTACTTTGAAACCCCTACATAACCTCTATGAAATCAAAACCGGTCATCTACGCGAGTACGAGACCATAAACTTAGTAGAACGATCAGTTTATAATCTCACATGCATTGAGCACTTTAGATAGTGCATGCAAGGTGATGCATCATAAAATAATGAAAACCTAGATTAGGATGAAAATTGGTAAAACTGGTTGCAATTTATTATAGGATGACCTTAGTAAACTTGCAGTGTTTGGGATGACTAATCATACAGTCCTTCCTCTATCAGCTTAAAATCATAATTGTAATGTGGTGTTAGTGCTCAAAATTAATGATTGTCCGGTTGTATTTATTTTAAGAATAAGATCTACACTTTGTAAATGTTCGAGTGCAGGGGTGATGGGATGCAGGCATATAATTAGATGTAATCTAAAATTTATTTTACTAATAGAGAGATGTTTGTCAATTTTTCATTGTATTATTTTCAGGTTCAGTGCTGCTGCTTTCGTATCTGCAGGACACATGAGTGATGATTCACATAAAATGGTTGGTAAGTTATGTTAGCATTTTTAAATATTTTATGTGCCTGGTTTATACATAGCAAATTTACCTAAGAAAGTAGAGTAATTGAATCCATCTATGAATATAAAGTTTTATATTTCAAATTCAATATTAAATCTTGTTTTTAGGACTCGACCTCATTTGCAAAGAATTTGTTCAGAGGACAAGTAGAAGTGGAGCATGTGTTTCCATTTCCTAATGGTAAGAATTAAATATTCAAGGATAGTTTATTGAAAGCCTTGCACTCGCAATGCTAGTGTGTTTTCTCATGATGCCGCTACATACCTGTGTAACATAGCATGGGCATCTCAACTCATGAGTCAGTGAGATATTCATTATCAGAAATAATCAGCATGTATATATCCTTTTCATAACTAATTTTGAAACCTGAGATCTTCCAAACATGCCTGTGTTCCTTTGTATTTCATTAATCTCTAAAGCTAGCAGCTTAACATTGTTCAAAAACGTTAAAGTAATATTGAAATTGGTTTAATCTGCCAAGTTCCTATTTATAATTTCCAATTATTTCCTTTTAGTTTTATCAGAGGAACAAACGGAGACACTAGAGGCACTTGTTGCCCCTGTTGAAAAGTTCTTTACGGTATGATGATTCTTTGGTATAAACTTGGGATTTCACTCTAACACGTTTGTAGAAGATATATATCATCTTGCAGGCAAAAGGAAAAAATTCTTGGCAGGAAATGTTTTGCTATATGAAATACCTATCGCTTCTATGACATCGTTCGTTTCGTTTACACCGACGCATGTACCCTACACCGACGCGTGTACCCCCCTACACCGACGCGTGTACCCCTACACCGACGCGTGTACCCCCGCCCCCTACACCGACGCATGTACCCTACACCGACGCGCGTGCCCCCCTACACCGACCTGTGTACCCCTACACCGACGCGTGTACCCCCGCCCCCTACACCGACGCATGTACCCT